TTTGGTCATGTTGGACTTGATGCTGTAGGTGGATTTGCCTGAGTGTACGGGGTTAAGTTTGCTGTAGGGGTCGATTAGAAGGATGTCGTTGTTGGTTTTGGAGAACTCGGCGATGAGATAGCGCACGCTTTGAATAATGTCTGCCTAGGGAATGCTGTTGAAGAAGCCCACGAGGTCGTGGTTGAGGAATATAAGTTCTCGTTCTGGCTGCTCTTCGTTGGCTTGAAATAGCTCATGGACTTCTTGCCAAAGTTGAGGCGTGGCGATGTTCCCGAAGTGGTGAGGCCAGGTGGCTTTGAGCATCTGCTGCAGTGCCAACGCTGCAACTCTGAGGAGCCGCCCGACACATGTGTTGGAGTAGGCGATGATCGTGCGGCCCTTGCTCCACTGCATCCAGGTGTTGAACGCTGCCTGGTTGTAGACGTTGGGGCAGTATATCATGAGGTGGGCGTTGGCGTGGTCCTCGTTGTGAATGATGTAGTTGTCTGGCAGGGCGGACATCAGGTGCTTGATGAGTCTGTGAGTGAGTCGAGGCTCGTGTCGCTGCTGTTCTTTGTGCTGTTGCCACTGTTCCTCAAAAAATGTCTCGAAGCTCTCAAAGATGCGGTCGTCGTTGGGAAATAAATGATGCTTAAGCCACCTTCGTAGTTGATCAAGAATTTGATCGTGTAGTCGTCTTTTGGACGGAAAGAAGGCGTTGCAGGCGCCGACGTTGGCGAAGGCTGCTCCGAGGTTGGACTGGCCTTTGCAAAAGTCAAGCGTTTCCAGTCCTGTGGCGACGTGTCCTTCATGTTGTTCGGCTCGGGGATGTTCAAGTAGAAACTCGTGGCACTTGCATGGCTCTGGTTCCCAATGTCGTCCTTGTACTGTAACCTTGCGCATGTGGTTCCATAGGACCTTATTGAGAGCAGGGTGTGGCAGTTCTTGAATGGTTTTGGTCGGGAGGTGGTAGGGAATAAGAACGTGTCGGTGTTGTCGAATAAGCTTGGATACCCACTTCTGTGTGTTGTTCTTGAAGTCGTTGTGGGCTAAGAAGGGGATCTTGAGCGGGAGGTTGAACTTGGGCACTGAGGCGTTGCGAAATGTGAGTACTCGTCGGAGTCCGGCTCGTGCTTTAGACCGCCAGGGTTGTTCCATGTGGTTTGCCAGGCGGTAGAGGAGGGTGACAGTCTCGTTGTCGTGCTTGCCGCTGCG